ATTAGCAATTAAATTTGCCACATTTCTTTTGTCTTGCTATCAATATTTTTTTCTTGTTTGGTAGTATTACCAATCACCACTTCTTCTACTTCTGTCCAACATTCTCCTCATACTTAATAATGGGTCGTGTGGAGTATTTACTCTGTTTTTGAGATGCATTTCTTGGGTCTTCACAAATCATCCCTGTAGGTTAGATTTCTATGCGTTCTCTCCTGGGCAGTTTCCTATCTTGTTCATGTATTTTTCAGGGTATTTCTGGATTTTTGTGTGCTCTTTCTTCCATACAATTCTCTTTAGGACGTTATCCTAACTAGAATCAGGAAATGGTTTGGCAGTACATATTGAGTACAACTCTAAAAAGGAGACACTTCTATCTGTCCCTGCAGTTTTCTTATGGTGCTGACAAGTAACCTTCAGGTTTTGCACTTCATTGATCCTGTTTTTTGAATATGTAAATAGGGCATTCTTTATATACTGTTTTACTATTTATACTGTGCCCTTATATTGGAGTTTTATTTCATTTGGTTAATTTGATCCTTTCTGTATTGCTTTCAAAAGCTACCTAAGTTTTCACTCATACATGAACTATCTCCTTTTCAACACTGTATAATTGTTTCACCTCCCTGAGTGTGCACATATAGTACACACATACACACATACAAAGTATTACATATGTGTATAGAATTTGCACACAATGCTGTATTCTAATTAGAATTTATACATTTCTATTCCTATGAAGAATTAGATCCATATGAGAGATCTGGTGGCAATACAGTAAGCTAAAATACGACACTGCACTTTTGGAAGGGAAAAGAAAAAGAGCTATGTATATGAGACAACTGAGATAATTTTACTACTAATTTCTTTTAGTCCATTGAAGAGAATGGTTTGCGCTTATATTGTTAGATCAGTTTTGCCTGCTTGCGCCTGGTAATCTGAGCAACTAATCTGAAGATAACAATAGGTAATATATTAATTTTGGGTATTTTCCTACTATACTATTATGAAAATCTGCATTATTGTGTTTATCATTTTTTCTCTTTAAACTAAAAAAATGTAGTTTTAGAGCTCATGTAACAGTTTATTTTATAGATGGTTTCAACTAATTAGAGATTTCTTGCTTGCCATATGTTTGTTTTTTTGTAATTCTGAACCAATATTAGTAAATTTTCTATTATATTTCTCAAGTTACATTTTCTCCAGAAGTGGCTGGGCCAAGATGACTTGTTTATTATTAATTCATGTACCATTATATATCAGGTGTGATTAAAATATATAGTAAATGTTTAAAAAATTACAGTAAAAGATGCATTGCCATAATCTGCCTCCATTTCAAGCGCCTTCTGTTGTTCTTGCCACTTTCTGCAGCAGGTCTGGAGATCCTCTTTCATAAGGGTCTTTACAAATTGTGTCCAATACATGGTAGTGCTCTGGCCCAGTGCCATTCAACAGAAAATCAAGCCTACAGAATATTATGGCATTCTGTCATCTGCCTCATTCACCATGTAACTGGCTCATCTTCAAAGTCAATATGGCCTTGAAAGTAAACATTTTAAATTGACTAGACATCAAGTCTGATATGAGTGTGCAACAAAGGAATCTTATGAAACAGGATTTTCAGGCTTCCTTCCAAACATGACAATAATACTGGGATGAGAAGGTTTGAAGAGAGGGGCGTTATTTTGAGGAGATTAATGTCATTGTGTCTTTTACTGTAATTAATTTTAAAATTTAGACAGTCACCATACTTTTACTCACATCTCATGCATTTAACATGATTTACAAATATTTTAACGTAGAACTTTTAGCATTTATTTTTTGAAAATCTGGTCTTCATGTATACAAGTATTTTTAAAGCCCAGAAAGGAGTTTGAGTTTTAGGAGCCCTAGCTGCCTCTTTTAAAGTTTACTTAAGTTCTCAATACAAAAGATAATGTGTATTTTAATTTATAGATGCCATTTTTAAAAATTTCTTTTCAGCAGATCACATGCACATGAATACCAATGAAAACCCTGCTCCACTTAGAGTTCAGTTCCAACTAGGTATCAGGATTTCAGGGATGAGAGTGTAGCTTAGTGACAGAGTCTCCCTTACTCCAACTCTCAATTTAAACAGAGAAGGAAATTGTATGAATTATGTGGTCCATATTTGTGATTCTGACTTAGCATCTGCTCTGTGTCTTTACTTTTATCCTTTTTTTAAAGTGTGACATATCCTCTGGAATTGGATTTCTCTTTCTAAGAAGATACCACCTTTCTCTTACAATTATTTTCTGCTTTCACCCTTACTGGCTTAAATAATTCCTCCAAGGACATCTGAGTCGAGCTTGATCCTTCTTAGTTTCTTTGGTTTGTCAGTAAGCAGAGACTCTGGATTAAGAACAAGAGTTCTGGCAAAGGAGCAATGGAAATACTCCATCACTGATGCAGTGAAACTCTAAAGTTTTATTTATTTTTCATTTCCTATTTTTTGTCATCTATTAAGTGTGGGCTTTTAAAAAAAATTAACATCAACTACATTTATTAGAAAAGAAGAAAGTGATAAAATATTCTCATATGTTTCCTTGAGAAATTAAAAATAAAAGATTAAAACCAAAAATTAATAGAAGAAAGTCAGAAAACACTCTGATCACAGATGCAATGAAATTCATAGTTTTAATTATAAAGAAATTTGTAAAATACACACTGCTTTTTCTGAAACAAACAGAAGACATGTGTTTTAAATACTCATTTCAAGTCATAAAAATCAGAAAAGCCATTAAAGGACAGGACAAAAAAATAATATGATCATGAAACTCAAAGGTTCTAGCTGAATCTTACTAGAAATACTTTTATTGAACACCTAACAGAAAGCTAGAAATAACAGTGCTGAACAGAACAGGGGAATTTAAATTTAAGAATACAAAAGATGAAGATGGTGATAGAGGGAGGTGATGGAAGCATGCCAGGCATCATTAAGCCACAGACTGATGCTAATCCCTGGGCTTCAGCCAAGAGGAATCTGGTTTGTTATTGTTATGATTTCATGAATAAAATCCTCAGCATCTGTATTTACAGGGTGTGATGTTTTGTAGTTTTAAAGCTGCCAACATTGAGAGTTGTACTGCAAAATACAGATGGTTAAAATCACATACACAGAAATGATATTTTTCCTTATTATAAATACTTGCATCTGATTCTTCATGTTTATACTTCTGTGTTTTTCTACCGTGACAAATACTGCCATTCTTTTATTTGATTCATTATTTAGAATTTTGTGCAATTTTTTTTCATTGAGTTTTGTTTTATGTGTTAAATTTGTCCTGGAAATTCTTTTCTTACTGTAAAACAAGTTTTAAGTTCTGATTTCTCTTGCGAAACAGATAAAATGAAAGAACTTTCACAGAACTTTTAAAAACTAACATAAAATATGTATATAAAGAAGTTAGAATAAGTAACTGAAATATTAATCTGTATACAAAATGTAACTGGATAGGCCATGATAATTTTACACATACTATTGTGTTTTATATAAAAATATTTTTTTTCAAAGCTACATCCTAAATTAAGTATATTCAAAGTATAGACCAAAGTCATAATTAGATACCATATCATCCCATTGATAATGAGTTCTATCAGCAAAAAACAACAAATAGTTGCAAGAATGTGGAGAAAGCAGCAACTCCTATACATTGTTTTTGGGACTGTAAATTAGTAAAACCACCATGGAGATAGTATGCAGGTTCTTTAGAAGACCGAAGAGAATTACCATATAATCCAGTGATCCTTTTTCAGGGTGATACCCAAGGAGATGAAATCAGCCCACCAAAAAGCTACAACTGTACCCATGTTTATGAGGCACTATTTATAATAGTTAAGCCATGAATTCAGTGGAATGCCTTTCAAAACATGAAAGAGTAAACAAAGTATAAATAGCGTATCATAGCCAGTAATCTTAATGCAAAACATCTTCATTCATAGTAGCCAAAAGATTGAAATAACCCAAATGCCCATGTACTAGTGAACAGAAAATTAAATGTGGTATATTCATATCACAGAATATTATCCAGCCTTCGTAAATGGTGAAGCAGTGACAAATTCTTTGATTTAGTTAAGCCTCAGAAGTTTTATGCTATCTGTCAAAAGTCAGTGACAGAAATACATTGTGATTCAGTTTCTATGTAATAACCACGTAAGTTTATCTATATGTAGAAAAAATAGATTAATGGTTCCCTTGAATTAATTAAGAAGAGAACTATACAGAGTACATATAGATTTAATTAGTAATAAGATGTGTAAAATTATACTATTTTCATCAATGTAAATATATTGAAAACCATTGATTGTAAACATTAAATCAATGTAGTGTATAGAATGTCCATAAAGCTTTTATGTTTTTAAAAATTCAATCTATTACACAGTCTTTGCATTGCTGGGCAACAAGAGAGTTTGATTAGAGAAGTCAATGGGCAAATGTGTTTAAAAACAAATTAAAAATGAAACTGCAATATCTCAGTTCTTACCATGATGCACTCATCCAAACCCCAAGTACAAATGCACTCATTTCTTCGCTATCCAAAGACACCTGCCCTTGATATCTTTTGGGTTTTAATATTTTTTGTTTATTCATCAGCATTTATTGAGGAAAACTATATGTATATATATTTTGTAATTCTCCACTGGCATAAGATTTTAGTTACATATCCCAGATTTATTCCTTCACCTTTGTTACTATGATAACAGTACTACCAAGTTTTAATCTTAAATTTTCTGTTTTTATTATACTTTTTTATTATAGCGGTACATGTGCTTTGGTTTTGAATACAGTAGTTAAGATTCAATGGCGTCATTTGTTAACCTACTCTCCGTGTTATGTGAAGTTTCTCCTAACACAGAAAACACAGGAAATAAGTTTACTGTTCAGTGCTATAAAATCACTTGATAAAATTATGTTTGATTCAATTAGAAGCCTCCACTATACAAAAATTTATTTTAATATTTTCTCTCTGTGTCTCTCTCAGCTTTAGATCCAGCAAAAGACCCATGCTTAAAGACGAAATGTAGTCGCCACAAAGTATGCATTTCTCAAGATTCTCAGACTGCAGTCTGCATTAGTCATCGAAGGCTAACACACAGGTAAACATTGTTACATTAAATCTTGCTGATTTAACAGTACTGCTTGTCACAAATTATGACCAAGTAGAAGTATTTGTCAGAGTCTGCTAAGCTTTATGCAGTGTGTTACTGAGATAGTTTTAGAAGACTTGTTAATACGATAATAATCCATTAGGATTAAACATTGTTATAAATCATAATTACTCAGTATTATAGAAATTACACATTTGTTAAATAATACAGATTATATGATGATCTTATGTTATATCTTATTGTTTGTAAGTTTCCATTTTTAAAGAATCATTACAATTTTGGTAACCTGTAAATGGAGTTTGCTTGTGGTTACACAAAAATCTCAGTTTTCTTCTGGGAAGAAAACTCTCAGTCATTTCTAAGGCATGCTCCTTCAGAATCAAGCCAGTCATGGAATCTGTTCCTTGTAGGCTGCACAACATTGCAAGAAAGAAGGAAGGAGTTTTAAGTAGCCTTTATAGCAGTTGTCACTGACCTGTAAGGTAGGCTGTGTTTGAAGAAGTACCCGTAATTTAAAATATACTATGGTCCATTAGAGAAATACTGATTAAGACCACACAGGTATTCCATCTTACCCTCAAAAAGAAGGCCATCATCAAGAAATAAAATAATGACAAATTTTAGTGAAACTATGGGAAAAAGATTCCTCCTACACTGTTGGAGAGAATGTAAACTAGTACAACCATTACGAGAATTAGTGTAGAGATTTCTCCAAAAAGTAAAAACAGAAATTTATTTGACCCACATATTCCCCTTCTAGGTATTTTCCTGAAAGTGCTAAAAGCATTACAGAGATACATGCATACCTAGGTTTATATCAGCAGAAAACTTAGTAGATAAATATTGGAAGAGGCCCATATATCCATCATCAGGTGGATGGATAAAGAAGATGCAGTATAGTGTTCACACACAATGGAGTACTGCTCTTGCAGAAAGAAGGGTAAACGCGTCATTGTGAGAAAATGGAAGCATGTCAAGATCATCATGTTAAGTGAAATAGATCAGACACATAAGCGTAAATATCACATGGTTGCTCTTATGAGAAAGCAGTGTAAAAACTAACAGCAAAATAAATGATAGATAATTGAAAATAAGAAGATAAATCATTCTCAAAGGAGAAGTAGATCAAGAGATAGCTAGAGGGGAAAAGAAGGGACAGGACAGTGCTAAGGAAAGGAAGGATCATCTATTATGTGTATCTGCCATATCCATACGATGAAGGTAAACCTTATATCCTGCAAATGTGCTAGAAAAGGAAATAGGCTGATGTGTAGTTGGAAAGGGGAGAGAGGAAAGCAAGAGGAGATGAGAAAAGAAATTAAGTTGCATTATGAAAATCTACCAACTTCCCACAAGTCATGCAACACTGTGTAATACACATGTGTCTTTAATGAACTAACAACTAACTGACTAAAACAAGCCGATAGTTTGGTGCTGAGAACTAAGCATTCAATCATGGCATACTCCACTGTCAAGGTTTTGGATACCTAGCTGAAGCAGATAAATGCATTAATTTCCTTTTAAAGGCATCCTCTTTCAGAGAAAACTCTTGTTTGTGATAATGGATCCCATTAATATCCTGCTTTAGTGAAGAAATTTGGCTATTTGGGTATTCGCAGGATAATAGGACTTTCGTAAATTTGCATATAAATCCCATTATCACAGCATTCTAGAAGACAGAGTGAGAACATTAGAGACTGACATAAGCGACATTTTTAAAAAATAGTAAAAAATTGTTTTATAAATGTTCAGTATTTGTATGATCAAATCTCTTTTATGTATAAAATGGATTTGAAGTATTTATTTCATAAGTGTCAAATATGTATTGGTGCATGTCAGGTACCAAGGCAGGTGAAAACAAACAGTAAAGATGGGGAGCTTGGCTGTGTATTACTTGAGAGAGAAAATGAAGACATACTGTTAGTGTAACTGAAAAAGAAAAGACAAAAGAGCACAAAAATTTGGGGATGAGAAGAGTAAAAGTCTTCCTGGAAATGACTTGCACAATGTCATTGTACTCTGACCAGGCACAGAAGCAGAGTTCTCTGGAATGCATCCCCAAGAACATGATTTATGTTGCCATTTACACACATTTAACACCTTTGGAACTGTTTGTGTGCCACTCTGCCCCTGAATTCCTGAACTCAAGTCAGAGAGAAACCAGAAACCTTGCAGTGGGTAGCAGAATTGTGGCAGAGAATAACTTCTTTTTCACATTTGAGAAACAGTGATGTGAAGGAAATAAATGTGAATGTCACCGATTCAAGATTACAAAGCTAAGAATTGTCAGATCATAGATTTCAATCACTATTTCCTAAAACCAGAGTCAGTGTTTTTTATAGCCATTTTCTTTCATTACTTCTCTAGCTTAATATTAAAGAAAGAATTCACAAAAAAATGAAACTTTTCAACATAGTGTAGAATATCAGAAAGCAGTAGCAAAATATTGTTTGACATATGCTGTGGAAGCATCCCGAGCGGAGGACCGTTGGCAGATTCACTTTTAGTGTAAAAGTGGAAATGGAAGTCAGGATGACTAGTATTTAAGTAGTACATTTCAAAGTGCCTTATAGAAATGGTACTTAGTCCTATTCTGCTACTAATAGACATACTTAAAACTGCACCCTCAAAACTGGGCATGAGAGTTCATTACTGTAGCTCCAGGCTACGGCAGGGGGTCATTTGAGTACAAGGAGTTGGAGACAGGACTGGGCAACAGAGTGAGACTTATCTTAAATCTACAAGCTCTTCAATAAATAAATAACTGCCTTCAAAGAACTGATATAAATATTAATAATTTATATGCTTGATTTGCTTTGAGGGTGTAAATACATTGCAAATCTTTACGCACTTAGGAAAGAAGAGATTTACCTAGGAGTTTGATCAATAAAAAGAGCTAATAAAATCACATATAATCACAGTGCTCTGGGAGGCTGAGGTAGAGTGTTTCCAAGGTGGACCCCAGCCTGGGAACCTTAGCAAATTTGTTAGATCCTGTCTCAAAATCAAAATAAAAAGAAGACTGGGGATGTAGCTCAATGCAGTGACTGTAGGTCACTCTCCTAGAATGAGTAAGTGAATGAATTACACCTAACATAAATGAGACTGCCAGATTGTATATTGAGAGGCATGTTTGTGTCTTGGAGTTAGCATAAAAAAATCCAAGATGCAAGCTGAATTAATGAGTTCTCATTTACCTTAGAATTTTGGATCTCTAATTTTAAAGTTTACTCAAAATTATGGCATGTATCTAGATATCCACCAAAGCCTCATGCAACCACAGGTGGAGCTGTACAGAGGTGGCTGGATCTATGGTCTGTGATGCTGGTATCAAGGATATGATGTTGGGATTGCTTCATGCTGCAATGTGAGGATTAAGGCTGCCCCCCCCATGTGAGTGCTACCCACTAAAGGGTGGGTAGCTTGGATCAGATAAAAATGGCAGAAAGAGACTTGTTGCTCGTCAGTTGGTGCTTCCTGCTTTATTTAACTACTTTGCTGTCATCTGCCTACTGTGAACTGCTTATCCTGTGCAACGCCACTTTGCCATGGAGCCAGGCAACCATGAAATGAAACATTTACTAACTGTGAGCTGAATAAACCTTCTCTCCTTTAAATTTGGTTGTTGAATATTTTGTCTCAGCAAGCATAAAAGTAACCAATAGACCACATTTGTAACAATGTGTCTTCAAATCTTCAGTTGACTGGGAAGATTATGAATGTCAAATCTGCACTGTAATCAGTACCTGAGACTCAAATGTAGTACATCTTCCTTTGAGCAGTATAAAAAAAAAAATACCTGCAGTTTGTATAACATTTTGTGTTGAAAGTATTGAAAAGTAGTTTCCTAAATTGTAAGGGTGAACCCGACTCAACTAGATCTATAGTTTTCTGTCTCCCTTGTGCATATGGTTGAAAGAGAATCAAAAGCAATCAACAAATATTTTTTAAATAACTTTATTGGAACAATGATCAAAACTATGGCTTGCAAGAAAAAGAAAAGGAAGATATAAAAATACTAAATGTAGGAGGATTTCATAATAGTTTTAAGAAAGCACAAGGTCTTTGTTTTAGATTTGTAAGTGATTGAAATAATAGGTACATTTCTCCTACTTTAGTTGTTATAAATAACGTTGTCTTCCACAGTCACAGAACTCATATGATTATATGCTTCATTATATACTTAACCTTAGGTTTGACTACTATTGCCATCATAGAGGATAGTATGAATTGTTCCAAAATGTCATTGTCAAAGTAATGTATTTGCTTATCTTTTTTCCTAATGGATTTCTTTGCAAATAACTGGTTTCAAACCAACACAATGCTCTGCTCTTCTGATAATTATTTTATTAACCTTATTATCACTATATGAAACCTATTAATCTTATGAATAATGAGAAATAACTTTAACTGCAGCATATTTTTCAATATGGTAATATAACTCATTATAATGATAGGCTAATATAAAATCATGTATGGCTTTTCCAGACTTTTAATATTATATACTTTTGATATTGTCTTGGACAAAATTGCTACAGATGTTGAAATTTCAGTGGGTTTTTGGTGTTGTTGTTTTGTATTGGGAACAAGAAACTCAGTGTTTTATGCTTCTGTACTGCCTGAGCAGCTGCAGATAATTAACACTATTTCTAGATTAGTGTTTTTGGCACCGATCAATGCTGCTAATATTAAAAGAAAAAGGGCTGGCATAATAAGACAGAGGAAAGTTGAACATGTTGTTGTAGAGAAAAACTACTCATGTTAATTTCTGCTTCATTTGCACCAAAGGATGAGAAAAATCAAGAAGTAAATGCTCTTGGCCTCCTAAGAATGCATTATTCAGAAAGAATGAGAGCAATTTAAAATGTTATTTATCAGAAATACATATCAAAAGAAGGCAAGTCCAAGACTCTTCTGATTTAATTATGTACTTATGAGATTAATGGTTACAAGGACTATATTTAAAATAAAATCCACATTTATTTACC